AACTTTCTGACGTTAAAGTTTGTAATTAGTCGAAATTTCTACGCGCTTTTACGACCCTCACACTAGTGATAAAAAAGGTTCAATCTTAATCAGCTTATTACTTAATAAATCAAACGTAAAGTTTTCTCCATTAATTGTTAGACAATCAGCTCTCATAAACGCACCTTTTCCGGTCTTCTTAGCTTCTTGATAAAAAGGAAAAAGATTTTTTCTCCTAATCCTTGATCTCCAGTGCAGATCATCAAAAAACTTTACCCTAGAACATCCTTCCCTCCTCTGAATATTATGAACATTCCAGTAGATAAGTTTTTTATCGGAGACAGTATTAAGTTTTGCCACCACCAAATTATTCTTTGAAATTATTTTAAGATCTTTCACCAGAATTGAATCACCACTAGGTCTTTTAATAGACAACAAAATATCGGAAGCCAAAGACATAATTTCAGACGAGTTACCATCTAATCCAGCAATAACAATATCATTTCTCTGCCGTTCATTTATCGATGAATCTAAGAGATATAAAAAATAGGAGGTCGAAGCAGTATATGAGGTATTTAGATTAGAAATTTCCTCTCCCTTTTTTTCTACATTAAGGAAAAGTTGTTCAAAATCTTTATGCAAATTTGCCAGCCATTCGAATTTAGTAGATAAATCTTCAAGTTTAGTCAAGATGGTGTCAAATTTTTCCTCTAAAAAAGAAAATAAATTTTGGGGTACATTTGAAGAAGGAGTCAAAGGAGGAAAAAAAAGATTCCAGTCGCTGAGATTTCAGAGTCGGTTCACTAGGAGATCTTTGACGTTTTCCAACAGCTGAAATGGATGACTTTGAAAGAGGGGAGGAAGGTGGAGTGCGAGACATCGGTCCAGGGTTAGACTCAATACCTCCAATTACTAATAAAACGCGTAATAATAAATATATATCAAAAACTTTAGTGAAACCAAAGTAAAGAATCACACTCTTTGTAGAAACAAACATATCCAAAGCGCTATACTTCAAAAAAAAACAGCTCTCACAAAAACTCACCAACACTGACGAATGTCACAAGCGCCCCCAAAAAGACAGACAATATATTAAAATGTATTTTTCATTATTCTATCATTATTCAGACAGTATGCCTGCTTTGAGCACACTAAATTTTTCAAAATAAATGTGTCAGATACCCAAGACACTCAACAAAGAGCATCAAAGGAATCCAGCCAAGTATCCACTCTCAACAGGATGTCTTTGTTTTGTCTTCTCTACATACGTCAGGAAATAACATTCTCAGGAAGCCTACAAGCAATTTTCTGAGAATGAGAATGTTAGTTCCTAAGTGTGTAAAAGTGATGAAACAAAGACATTTTAATAATTTATATTATTTTAAAAAAGTTTTTCAAGTATAAACAATTTTATTCCTAAAATTATTATTATAGTTATGTTTTAGTATTTATATAATCAGATAATCATAACACACCTTTTACATTGACAAGGTAGTTTTATTGAAAACTAACAAGGATAGCCTATTCTATAGGCCATTCTCTCATTAAATCTTTCCAAATCTCTTATTAAATCTGAGAAAGGCCTATAGAATAGGCCATCCTTGTTATTTTTCAATAAAACTACCTCTGCAACATAAAAGGTGTTAAAAAAAAATTGGGTTAAAAAAAAGGGTGTTTATATTTTTATTGATCAACAATAAAAGGTGTTTTACAATTATCTAATTATTTGCTGAGCACATTCTGTTTAATGTTAGTACAGTAGAGTGTTGTTTATCCGAATCAATTGGGGACTGAGGTTGTTTGGATAACCGATTATGTACGAAAAAAATATACCGTATTAGCCTGAATATAACGCAATATTTTTCGACCATTTATTTTCCATTAAAAAGTCGACTCGCGCTAAATTCGGGGTTTAAGTAATGGAATTTAATATAAACAAGGACATTTTCCTACAGAGGTTGAAATGCGACTGAACGTTCGACCAATTCCTAGCTCGACCGACCACTTCAAAACAACCATGTGATCTAGTTAGTAGGCCTGTGCTTTTGTTTGCATAGCGCTACTATAGTAAGGCTATGTCTCTGCTTGTTAACGTCTCACGCAACTGTTTTGTTTCATTTGTTTTTTTGCTCTAGTGACTAGCGACAGTTACTTTACTTTTTTCTTTATTGCCCATAAAAAATGAGTGCGAGTAATAAAGGTAGTGTTGAGAAAAAAGGCTCATCAAAGAGTCAAATAAATAAAGGTACCAGGAGAACCTACGATATGAATTTTAAAATTATGGTTGCAAACGAGGCAGAAAGAATAACTTGAGAGCTTCAAGGAAATACGGAGTTCCAGAAGTAAATATCCGCCTATGGAGAAAAGATTTAAGGAAATATAAGAATGCAAATTCTTCAAGAAAATCTTTTAGTGGACCTAAAAAAGGAAGGTTTAATGAAGTTGAGCAGCGAGTGTTAAAATTCGTAATAGAAAAGCGAAATGAAGGGTGCCCAATATCCCGTGAAGTCATAAGATTTAAAGCGTTAGAAGAGGCTGCTAATTTAAACATTCCTAGAAAGGACTTTAAGGCAAGTATGGGTTGGTGTAGAAGAATGATGAAAAGGAACGGTTTATCACTACGACGGCGGACAACTCTCGAGCAAAAACTTCCTGATGACTTTAATGAAAAATTGTTGGCTTATCAGCGCCATGTTATATCATTACGCAAAATACACAACTAGAGTCTTGGAAATATGGGAAATGCAGACCAAACACCAGTCTATTTTGACATGCCTTCCAACCTTACGGTAAATAGGAAAGGTGAAAAAACAGTCTTATTGAAGTCAGCTGGTTATGAAAAGTCCAGAATTACTGTTATGCTTGCTGTTACTGCTAACGGACAAAAGCTTTGACCTTACATTATATTGAAATGTAAAACAATGCCCAAAGAAAAGCTGTGTCCAGGAATTTTTTTTCAGGTCCAAGAAAAAGGTTGGATGACACAGGAGTTGGTATTAGACTGGTTTAATGTAATATGGGGGAAACTCCCGCTCCATGGTAGTCCTTGATGCATTTCGAGGCCATCTTACGACAAGTATTAAGGAAAAAATTGAGGCATTGAATTCCAATCTTGTAATAATACCGGGTGGTAGACTTCTCAGTTGCAAGTCTTGGATGTAGTGGTTAATAACCCATTTAAAGAGAATTTTCGAAAAGAATACAACAATTGGCTATTATCCGGCAATCATCCATTGACACCTTCAGGAAAAATATAAAAAAAAACCTCAGTCTCTCTTTTAGGAGAATGGATTGCGACTGCCTGGCAGAAGATCGAACCTGAATCGATAGTTAAAGGTTTCAAGAAATGCTGCATTTCCAATGATTTAAATCATTGGAAATGCAGCGGAATGCTGACGGAAGTGGGAACGGAATGCAGTGGAAATGGGACAGAAGTTGACATTTTGTGGGAGACTGAAAGCATGAATGAAAATACTGATGATACCGATGTGACATCAATGAGTTCTCGTTCTGAAAACAATTCAGATTCTGAATAAACATTTCCTTTTTTTTTTTTTTATTTACGTAATATTAATTTTGTTTTACATTACTTAATTTTATTGACATGAATGTAACCTGTGTTATTAGCTGTAATTACCTAAATAAATGCTTATCTGATTGAATTTTACTTTCTTTGAATTCTTTTATGAGTATTATTTTTTTTCTAAATATCTTTATGAAAATTTCAGAGTCACGTTAAATTTGGGGTCACGTTATATTCAGGCTAATACGGTATTAACCTATCCCGTGTTGAAATTTTTCTCTGTTGCGTGTCACTTTGCGTTGAATTTTCGTCAATGTTAAGCCTAACGTGTACTTTTTAAAATAATAATCGTGGCTATTGTATCGTTAAAAATTATTTCTTTATTTCTTACAAACAAAATAAATATATTGAAAAATATAAAAACCAAAAAAAATATACTTTAGAAGTTGATCTAGTATCAAAAACGTTCGATTCAGCATGACACACAATCCTCAGAAAAACACCACACAAAAGTGCCAGTGCTGCCAGTTAAAACACACACACACCAACAAAAAAAATATTGGAGTAGCCCAAGATATAGCCAAAGATTGCAGTGCTACAGCACTAGCAAAAATTTAAATTTGCCGACTGCAATGCTTTCGGATAAACGACACTCTACTGTATTTATAGTTTGTCTCACATTGGAATTAAATGATAAAAGTGACAGAAACAAATCATTTTGTAATACATATTATCATTTTAAACTGTTTTAAACATTTACAGCATAAGAATAGTTTATTCACTTACAAATTTGCTTCAGATAATGCAGAACATCAGATAATTGGGGTTTGATTGTATGTTTAATGTTCTTTGAATAGAAAATTAATTTGTTTAGTAGGCCCTTGTTAACACATTCTAGGACACTAGTAAAATAAATGATTGTTTGTTAAAATGATGTTACTACTATTTTTCATATTTTGAATAATATAATTGGTTGATTTATTAATCTTTCTATATATTAGAAAAGAATGTTTCTCAAAATGAAAATTATGACTCCTAAGCAATCATTATATATTCTACGTTGATGGTTAAAATCATAAGTTTTTAAAGATGCACATACAAGTGGGATTGTTGATTATTTAATTATTAATATAGGGAAGTTGTATAGACCAAAATGAAATGTTAATCTAAAGAATATTAACTAATTTATATTGGATCAATCCTTCAATAGCAAATATAATTACTGAACCATTTGTGTTGTATGAACCATGATGTGCCGTTTGTATTTCTTATTTGTATGATTACACTTTCTGGTTTCTAGTTACAGGCAGTTGTACTGTGTGCTTGACCATTAATTGTGGTAAAAAAATTAATTTGTGGTACATATTAGCTAAGTTGTGTTTTAAATTTTAAGAATCTTTATTCTAATCAAGATCAATATTTTTAGCATCCAAGTATGTGTTAATGAGGGTTTATTATCTTCATAAATGATGATAATTAAATTATTTTCATATTACAGTTGGCTTACTTATGCTCGAAACAATGTGTGTCCTAACAAATTAAAAGATGATGATAAAAAGTTGGCCGATTACATTTTATTTCATAATCTAGAAGAAGAATTGGAATGGTTGAAGTATGTTTTGATTTTTTTTTTTAATTGTAATTCTTTGTCTATTATCATGTTAATTATAGTAGTGACTTCATAACTAAATCAATTAAAATATTTGAACAAATTTATTGGCCAATTCATATTACAAACTGCATATTTTACTGAGATACAATAATTAAACATCGTTTTATCTTCATTAATGCTTAAGATATAATATTTTTAAATATGCCAAAAAAGATTCAATTATTGGTAAGTGTTAATGTAATGTTATCTTTTTGGATATGTGCTTTGATTTGTTAGCATTTCCATCACCATAATATGAGAGTATTTGGAAATGCCAAAATGAAGAATTTGGAATTTCAGTTATTATCTAGTGCTTAATATAAAATTCTTGTTTATGAGGAATGGTTCTACATATTAAAATTTAAATTTACTATACTGTACAGTCTTGTTTTTATGTAGGATATGTTGGTTTTGTTTTTCAGATAGCAAATGATTATATGAATAATTTTGCTAAATAGAGTTGCATATAGACACTGTACTATATAACAACAAATGTTTGAGTGTCAATTTCTTAGTTCATACTCACTGTAAAAAATAACATATGCTAAAATTGATAGCTGACTTTTAAATAATTCTTAGTCATACAGAAAGGGAAAAGTTTCCAAAAATGTATTAGCTTTCAAGATAAAAGTTTAATTAGGAATTTTTAATGATATCACTTAAAATATAGATTGATGAGGGAGATAAGCATCATTTTCTCTCACACATGTCCACATAGATGTGTGTTTAGTGGTTTCCAGAAAGATTTCAATGGCAGATGAATTATGTATTTATCTGCCATTGCATAGTGTAAATGATTTTTTTAATGATATTAGTAATATAAAGGCCATCATATGTGTGTATAAATTCCTTATAACTCCTGCAATTTTTGTCCAATCCACATGAAATCTTGGTTATATTCATTTCATATTTGAAGGAAAGTACAGTGGACAGTTACTTAATGAGCATAATTCGTTCCAGAGTCTTACTCGTAATGCGAAACACTCTTTAAGCGAAACAGTTTTTCCTATATAAATTAATGTAAAATCTGATAATGTGTTCCATGTCGAAAAAATACTCAAATATTTTATGTACAGTAGACCCCCCTATAACGTTTAGATACGTTCCACGCTAACCGAAAATTACGTTGTAGGAACGATTAAATACATGAGCCAATCGCAGCCCGATAGGTGGGAACTTTACGGACTAAGGCTGTTCGAAAGGTTTTCTTCTATAAAATTAACCGATTCTAGACTAATTCGACTCAACATTTCCAAAACACGTATAATTTTTTGGGAGTAATCCGTATAAACTATGCTATAAACAAAAAATTATAGGATTACTTACCGAGTGTGTACCGTTCGACTACGCCCGTTGTTCAAAGCTTGTCTTCGTCGCGGAACAGCACACGAAACGGCGGCCGCGATTTCTGATAACGAATTTTTCGCAGAAAAATAACTTGACCTTTGGAGACATCATTAATATAAATAATTTTTATGGACGTTGAATAAGAAGTGTTTCTTTCACAAGAAATGTATAAAATTAGTGCTGTATTAGACTTACGGTACCTAATTTACATACTGTGCAGACGATAATAAACTCAACTTACTAGCCTAAAATCTCCGTAGCGTGTTGCCAGGCGGCAGAAAGCATATATATAATTATAATAAAGTTACAATAAATTAAGTTAATATATAATTATATATACAGTACCTAATTTATATATAATTAATATATAATTATATGTACAGTACCTAATTTATGTATAATTTATATATAATACTAAACAGACGATAGCAAACTCAATTTAGCCGCTCCGTAGCGTGGCGCAGGGTCGGAGGTAAGTAGTTTGGCTGCTCATCCACTATTGGTCCAGACTCTATCAATCTTGTCGCGAAACGACATTATAGGAGGTACGTTATACGAAAGTTTCTACAATTTTTTCGCTACGTTATAGGAATTGTCGTTATAGGAACGTACGTTATAGGGGGGTCGACTGTATAACGTTTATTCAAAGAAAATTATACAATATACATTGTTAAGAAGCATGAATCATCATCTTTTCTTCTAGCATGGAACAAACCAACCGGAATATGAATTTGATTTGCAGAAAACAAAAAAAAAATCATATATAATATGTCTGATAAACATGCCAAACGATATGCCAAATTCAGTACTTGAACAATTCAGTATTCGAATATAAATTCTGGGGAAAAAATTCTCTCATTCCTGAATTGAACCAAATGCAACTTGCTAGAACAAATTTTTTATTAATACCATATTTTTACTTTTTATTTTGTCATACATAAAAAATTATGATAAAAATAAAAACAATGATGTTGCTGATATTTCTGATTAAGATCAACAAAAAAGCTCAGATGATGATGATGATATTTTGTATAAAGAAAGCATCCTCATTTAACTAAAATTAATATTAAAACATCATACAGTACTTTTAACTGTAATTGTTAGTTAATTATTGATTGCTTTAATAAACATGTTTTTTTTAGTAACAAAAAAATAGTATACTTTTGCTAACTTTTGGAACTGCATGTTTTGCAAACTAACTAACTAGCAAATAGTTCTTTGTTTTCTATAGCATGGATTTGCATAACACTGCACTTTTTCAGAATGTAGGTATTGTGTTATATGAGGGATACCTGTGTTGTATAAAATTATATCATTACTGTTGAAATGTAATGTAAATTTTAAGAATAATTTAGGAGTTATTAGGTTACATTTTTTTTAGATTATTTACTGCCTTGCTTTTTATATTACCCTGAAGAATATACTGGATAACTTAAATAACAGGATAAAAATATTTTGAAAAAAAGACAATTTTTTCCCTTCCAGTTTTTGTAATCTTCTGATTACATTTGTTCATTATTTATAAAATTATTTTTTTATTTAAATATTTCATTCTTTTATAAAATGAACAGGATGATGATTTTTTTTTGTTTTTGTTTTATTCTGTGCTTATTGTTGTGGTTTCTGCATATTATACAGATGAGAAATTTACAAATTTAAATCTTAAGTTTAAAAAAATGTTCTAATCTAATCATTTGTTTAGAATTTAAAGTTGTGTTCTAACATTTTAACTTTAACAGATGTTAGGAAGTTTGAATGTTTATTTGGTTTGATTAGGTTTTTTTTTGAAAGTTGTATCCAAAGACAAGATAAATGGACTCAAAACACACTCAATACTGTAAATAAAACTGACATCATTATCACAATAGCATTAGTGATGCTATAGTATTAAAAAAAATGTCTATTTGGAATTGGATTTTTTAAATACAGTTTATAATGTCTTAGAACAAGTTTAACATAATACTTTATTAACTTTTGTTTTTATAAATTATGAATTAATTATGTTTAAAGTACAAAAATATAAATATGCACTCTAAGATAACATGATATGTAAAATATCAACTATAAATTTCAGGTTGGGGGAAAAAAGTTTATTAAAATTTAAAAAGACCATTCAAGTATTACACAATGCTAAATAGGGGAGGCGTGGATTGGCCTAAGTGTTATGATGCTTTACGGAAGAGAGGAAGGAGTTTGTTTGAACTTGTGTTATGTAATATTGTTAAATTTTTTTTTAAATTATAAATGATTTTATGTTAAAAATGTAATCTATATCATAATTTTAATCTTTCTGTAGAGGACTCTCAACTGATAAATATAGAAACAAGTAATATACTGTGCTTGAGCATGTTGCCAATATGTAACTAATTATAATATTTGCAAATAACTTGAGATAGTGTTGAATATTTTTCTAATCCTTATGAAAAATGAATAGCAATTTCAGATATTATATTTTTATCTAAAATACCTGTCAATGTAGTTTAGTATTTTTTGTGTTTCAGATTTTTGTCAATTTCAAAACTTATTTGTTTCAAATAAAAATGTTTTCTGCATACAGAGTTACCAATTTGGCAAAAATGTGTCAATTTCCTTTTTCATAATTTCATATAATATATTTTATTAGCAAATTGTAAATTTTAAGGCGCTTTGTCTTGAGGGCATTAACAAAGTCGTTTTAATCAAACCTATCATGGATTCAGCCACACCCATGATGGAAGTGACTGAGTGATGAGGGACAGGGTATGACATATCCAGGACAAACCACTGGAGAGAGAATTTTTGGGTTACTGTCTCAGATTTGATTTCATGTCCCCCAGAGCAGTAAGCTATAGAATTGCCAAATTTAGCAATTTCAAGACTGTTTGGTTACTGGAATTTACCTCTGTCAATGTGGCTGTTTTATGCGATTCAACATGACAATGATGCAGATTTTTAGCAATTCATAATTTTTAGAGTTAAGCAAATGGACCATTTGTTAGGCAATAAAAAGCAAATCTTTTGTGCATAATTAACCTCAGTGCTCGTAAATATATATTACAAATGTAATATGTATTATACAAATAAAATGTACAAATTTTATTTTTTTTAAATATATATTATTTATTTAATTTGTTCTTTATTTTAATGTGTTTTCTGTTCCTCCTGGGGTATTTATGTCTGGCAAGTCACACTCATTCCTATTCACGCATCTTGAAACAATTGTCTTTGTTTCAAGATGCGTCTTTGTTGTTTGTTTCTTAACAAACAAAGAGTGAAAGCAGCCCTCTCTAAAGTCTCAAAAAAATCAGAAGCTCAATCTGTGAGTTTTCTGACATATCTGACAAAGAGTCTAATATGGAGGTGACAAAACCAACGTCACCTCCAAAAGAAAAACTCCCTGTTAATTAAAGAGAGATACCCTCGCCAAGAATGCTGCCTCAAACACATAATGGGTTATAAAATAATCCAATGGAACTGTTGTGGTTTCCGCAACAACTTCTCTGACATGAAACACTTGACATCATATACCTCATCTCTCTGCGTGGCACTCCAGGAGACTCGCCTGAAACCTGGAGAGAAAATTACTTTAAAAGGATTCAGATTTTACTGCAAGGATGATGATAGCCACAACCATGCCTGTGGTGTGGCTATTCTGGTTTCCAATCACATCCCATCCTTGCTGGTACAAATAAGCACTGATTTGCAAGCTGTGGCAGTCAGAATATGTATTGGAGTAACTGTCACAGTTTATTCTATGTACTTGCCACCAGATGTCAGTCAATGAGGATGAATTGGATTCATTAGTTGAACAGCTGCCAAATCCATTCCTTTTACTGGGTGATTTCAATGACCACAATCCAATGTGGGCCAGTCCCGACATCAATCGTCAAGGCAGAGTCATTGAACAACTCATAGGCAAGCAGCAAATGTACTTATTTAATACTGGAGAAGTGACATACTTCCATGCCCCAACAAGAACATTCACTGCCATTGATTTATCCTTAGCAAGTCCAAACCTGTTTTCAGCATTTATATGGGTGGTTGGATCTAATCCACTCTCTAGTGACCACTTCCCAATATTTCTAAAATATCAAGGCAGAGAAAGCTGTGAAACAGCCTATCCACCATGCTGGAAACTTGAAATGGCAGACTGGCCTGCATTCTCCTCTTTGGCCGACATCTCTGAGAAAATGGTCAATATTGCCAATATCAAGGATGCAGTTGAAGTTGTCACTTCCAGTATTATTCAGGCAGCTGAAAAAACAATGGGAAAAACATCAACCAGATATCCAAAGCATTCTAAACCATGGTGGAACCAGAATTGCAAGGCAGCATTTAAAGAACAAAAGAAAGCATGGGGGATTTTCAGAAGATACCCCACTGCTAACAATTTGATTGCTTTTCAAAAGGCAAATGCCAGAAGAATTACAAGGCAAATCCAAGGGGATTCTTGGAGGAAATATGTTTCTAGCATAACATCTTCCACTAGCTCAAAAGCAGTGTGGGATAAAATCCATAAAATTAATGGGAAATATGCTTCTCACTCTCTGTCCATGCTGGAAAATAATGGCACAATAATCAGTGATATACAGGGTATTGCTATAACGTTGGATGAAATGTTTTCTTCTTCATCCAGCAATATTATGTATCCAAGGAATTTTCAAGCTTATAAAACCCAAAGAGAAAAACAAAATTAAATTTCCATTCCTCATCTAATGAGGAATATAATGTGCCATTCACCAGCATAGAACTACGTACAACAATCTCTTGTTCAAGGAATAGTGCTGTAGGCCCAGATAAAATCCATTACAGCATGATTAAAAATCTGTCTGATAATTCCCTTTGTAATCTTCTGAACCTGTTTAACAGAATTTAGACAGAACATACTTTTCCTGACTCTTTGAGACTATCAATTACTATTCCTATTCCAAAACCTGGTAAAGACTGCAAGAATCCCTCTAATTATAGACCAATCTCTCTGACAAGTTGCCTGTGTAAACTATTTGAAAGAAGAGAGATACATCAGACATCTGTTTACAGATGAGAAAAAGGAATACTTTTCACTACATCAGAGTGGTTTTCGTAGGAACAGAAGTACCACGGACAACTTAGTAAACCTTGAAACATCTACACGTGAAGCGTTTGTCAGACGACAGCACTTAGTGTCTGTGTTTTTCGATGTAGAGAAGGCCTATGATTGCTGTTGGCGATATGGGATACTCCGTGATCTGCACCAATTCGGATTGTGGGGTAATTTGCTAATTTTTATAAAAAACTTCCTACATAATCAAAGATTCCAAGTCAGGATAGGCAACACATTATCTAGGCTTTTCACACAAGAAGTTGTTCCTCAAGGTTGTATTTTGAGTGTGACTCTGTTCCTAATCAAAATTAACAGCATAGCTAACTGTCTTCCTCCTAGTGTGAAACACTCTTTGTATGTGGATGACTTTCAGATCTCCTGCCAGTCTAGCAACCTCATGCATCCACTTTTGCCGAAGGTGTGGTTTGCACCTGGATCCTGAAATTTACCTAAATGGGGTTAAAATCCCAATTGTGAATGAAGCTAAATTTTTGGGTGTTTTGTTTGATTATAAAGTGACGTTCTTGCTACACTTGCACAATTTGAAGAGTAGATGTTTAAAAGCTCTAAACCTTTAAAGGTTCTATGCTGCTCATCCTGGGGAGCAGACAAATGTTCTATGCTCAGGATTTATAGGGCCATCATCTGCTCTAAGCTGGACTACGGATGCATTATTTATGGCTCTGTGCAAGAATCTACTCTTCGGATGCTGGATCCAATCCATCATCAAGCTCTGCGTTTGTGCACTGGTGCCTTCCGCACCTCTCTTGTACAAAGTTTGTATGTGGATGCTTATGAGCCTCCACTATCACTCAGGAGAGAACAGTTGTCTTTTTTTTATTATATTAAGCAGAAATCCCAAGCTAAACCTTCAGTTGTTTGTACGATATCAGATACCCAGCTGATAACATTATTTTTAGCTCTTTCAAGCTGTGTCCCTACATTCAACATAAGAATGGAGAATGTAAGCAGCACGATTGACCTGGAAATGGGCAACATTTCACAGCCCGAGGTTGACGGTATACCATTATGGTCAACTCTTGCAATAAATGTTGACTTTAGCTTACAGCAGTTTCCTAAGGAATCCACTCCAGACTATATCTACATACAGCACTTTGCAGAAATTCAACACCAAGACAGGAATTTAATTCCTATTTATACTGACGGTTCTAAATCGGATGATTATGTTGGCTCAGCCTTCGTTTGTCAGGATGAAATTGTGGCAGAACAAATTGCATCGAATTCGTCTATCTTTACTGCAGAACTGCAGGCTATTCACCTAGCCTTAAAGTATGTAATCAGAAAAGGTCATCGTCACTGCGTGATTTACACTGACTCAGTTAGTGCACTTCAGGCTTTGATCTCGTGTGAACCTAGTTTTCATTCTATAGTGATTAAAATCCATAAACTGTTTTGCCATCTTTGTGCGAGTAATATTTTTGTAAAATTTTGTTGGGTCCCAGGCCATGTAGGTATAAGAGGAAATGAAGAAGCTGACGCAGCAGCAAAGTCAGCAAGTCCTTCTCAGCATACAATGCATATTGAAGGAGGTGATTTGAAGCTGGTCATTAAAAAATGACCAGCAGAGAGATGGCAAAATATGTGGAACGCACAAGTCCACAATAAACTACATGAGATCAAACCTGTGATAGAAAATTGGGCACTTAAGAAACCCTATGACAGGAGATCTGAGGTTATTTTTACTCATCTGAGTATTGGACATACTCGGTTGACTCATCAATACCTTTTGAAGGGCGACGAGCAACCAGTATGCCAGTATTGCAACTGCTTTCTAAGTATTAAACGCATACGGCTTGATTTCTCTGCTTTTGAGACCAGGAGTAGACAGCATTTTGGAAATGTAAGTTTCAAAGAGATTCTGGGCCAGATTCCAAATCTTTATAATGTATTGGACTTTTTAAAAGTCACTAATTTGTATAAAGAAATTTAATTATTTATTTATATTTATCTATTTATTTATTTATCACATTTTTGTGCATTGTTTGTTTGTACATAATAAGTACAAACAAACAACAATTATGTACAAACTTATTATTATGTATATATTTGTTTTTGCTATTGTTGTTTATTTATTTATTTATTATTTTCATATGTTAGTTATTTATCATGTTTAAAATTTTTTTACCATTTGCCGTGGCGCAGCTTAGCCTATATGGCTCTTGTGCCAAAAAACGAAAACCAAACCAAACCACTCTCACTGGTGAAATAGACAGAACATTTTCTGTCTGTGGCATACTATTTTGTGGTTTTTCAAAAGTAGTAGCAAGTTTCTATACAGATGGATGGTTAATGAATTTGTAATAATGTTATGTGCAGATTAAAAACATTGTTGTAGTAGCTTAGTTTTTTTTTTTACTATAAATCTAAGCATAGCATCATGTCAGCATAAATGCTGACATGATGCTATGCTTAATTAGAAAGAATTTTTACGTATGCTTAATTTTAGAAAGAATTGCGGCAAATGGGATATTTATACAAATGTCTGTACATGGTGTTCACTTTATCCATGTGCAAAAGAGATCTTTTCAGCATTGCATGAGTATATGCATATAGTGCATTAGTTCCAATGCAATGTTTACTATATAATAAATTAATTTGTGAAAAAAGGGACATATGTAAATTGTGCAGTAGTTCAAGGCATAAATTTTTCCATGTCTTCTTAGTGTAAGGATAATGGAAATCTTTTAAGAAGATTTAGCATAATGTACAAAGAATCTCTGATTATAAAGGATGAAAACCAACATTGCATAAATTAGTATAAAAACAACTGAATAAAGATGGTAAAAAGCCAAGTGTTTAATTAATAACGCAATCTTGTGTTCAACACTTAATATAAAAACAACTGTTTTACTGTAATATATGTTTAAAACAATTGCCTTCAGTTTCAATATAAAAGTTAGATGGTTAAGAGTGGCACTATAGATGGCACTTAGTATTCGTGATGTCACCATCCTACATGCCTCCTTGAATTTGCCTCTCCAGCTCTTCAATATCACATCATGTTGCTGAATATGCATCATATATTGACACTTTATTAGATGATTCAACAGGAAAAAATTCAGTGGAATTAAGTCTGAGGAATGTGGTGATCATGGAATAACAGGACTTGTGTTTTGACATGTAAATAAGCAATTTTTTTACCAAATTTGATTCATTATTTTCAACACTACCATTTAATTTTTATTCTTAGAAAATTTTCAATAAAATTGATTTTTGTGTTTCTACTGTCATCTTAACTTTCTTTCGACAATTTTTTATTTTATTCCAATTTACATTTTTTTAAGGCATTGTTTTCCAGTTATTCATGCAAAAATTTCAAAAGGCAAGTTGACATCATCAACACCACTCTAATTTGAATTTCAGGAAAACCCTTCTTGCAAATGAAAATAAGTGCAGTATTACAAATGATGCATTTACACAATAGTAATTCACTATTACTGGCTTCTTATGATGCTGGAAAACAATAGAAGAGTTGTACATTCTAGAAATGATCTGATGAAAGAAAAAGTTTGTGTATAATATTATATAATCATACAATATAATGTAACATCTTAAAAATGAATGAATAAATAAATAAATAATGATAAATAAAAATAACATAAAATATCCAGCAATAAAATTAAATTGAACATGCTACAAAATGACAATCACCCTGACCCTGTAGGTTAGAGTGATCTTCATGTTGAATTGGGACAGAAGTCAAAAATTTCATGTCAAGTAGTGGCATGTCGTGACATTTGATGATAGGGAAACTGTGTTTCTGTAAGAAGCCAACTTCCAGAGGGCAATCAGTTAATTGCACGTCATGATGGTCTAGGGTTCATTCATATTCATTTGTTTGATAAGCCAGTAAAAACCGTTGACTTCTCTAAATGTATTTTAATAGATTATCTGACTTACTTAATAAAAAATCAAGTTCAATATAATTACCCCTGTTATTCATGTTCATTACATGAATAACAGATGTTATACAGATTCATTAGATTCCCTATGCCCTCTAAATGCCAATTCTTGCTTTGATAAAAAAGCATATAACGTCTATTAATTTAGATATAATATAAGGTGTGTTTCAAATTTATACGGACACAAAAAAATTAAAGTGAAACACAAATTTGCTGCATTAAGTGACAAATGTTTTATTAAAAATAACATGGATTTACATGTTTCCACATTGCAAAATAAGAATTTTAATCAAACATTAACATTTTGTCACTGAAAATAATGCTTATGAAACTCTTATACAAAAAAACTGTTACATATTTATCCGGACAGGTTTCAAATTGCAAAGTTTTCTTACAATTTAATGGCCAATGTAACCACCATTTAACTTAATTACATTAAATACTCGATTAGGCATTGTTTCAATTAGATTCTGAAGGAATTCAATCTTAAGTTTATCCCAAGCATCTGAAATTGCTGCCTTCAAATCATGAATTGTGGAAAACTGCTTTCCATTGGCATAAACTGTACGAACCATCATCCCCCAAAGATTTTCCATCGGATTCAGGTCAGGGCTTCTAGCAGGCCATGTCATCAGATTAATATTTTTACGTTTAAACCACATTTTTGTTGATTTAGAGGCATGCACAGGGGCATTGTCTTGTTGAAAGATCCAATTTGGTCCACAAATATTTGGTCCAGCTTCCAATAAATGATCTTCAAGCATGCCTTGATACTTCTTTGAATTCATTCTTTGAGTTATAAATGCTAAATCTGTGGTTCCGTTGAATCCAAACGCACCCCACACCATTATTGATCCCCCACCCATTTGGCGTTTTGAAAATATTTGTTTTTCGGTTCTTAAATCGTGCCAATAATACTTCCAACCGTCTGGACCATCTAAGTTGAATTTTTTTTCATCACTGAACAAAACTTCAATCCATTCTTCGGACCATGTCATGTGTTTTTGTGCCCAATCAAGTCTGTCACTTTTGTGCTTTAATGAAAGTGGTGGCATTACAGCTTTTTTTCTGAATTTTAACATTGGAGATTTATTTAAAACTCTCCACACTGTTGTGCTGCTACAAGGCAAGTCTAATTCTTGTTTTATTTTTCTTACTGATGTTTGTTTTGTGGAGCAAACCTTGATGATTTGTCTACAATCTCGAGGAGTAAGCTTGGGTTTTGGACCTGTCTTGAATTTTGGTACATCCTTGCCACGTCTTTTTGATAAATAATCACCAACAGTTGATTTTGGACGATTTATATATGCTGCAATTTCTCTTATTGACTTGCCTTGTGATTTATAGGCATCAATCTGCCCTTTTTCATAATCAGATAAATTCTTTGTTCTACCCATTTTAGAACGTTGAACAACGTAAAGAATTTGTATTACAATTAGATATGTAAGCTAATTTGCATATTTCAATGCTTGAAACTAAACAATATTCTGTTTAAGTCATAAAATGAGTGCCTGTCCGGATAAATATGTAACAGTTTTTTTGTATAAGATTTTCAAAAATATTATTTTCAGTGACAAAATATTAATGTTTGATTAAAATTCTTATTTTGCAGTGTAGAAACATGTAAATCCATATTATTTTTAATAAAACATTTGTCACTTAATGCAGCAAATTTGTGTTTCACTTTAATTTTTTCGTGTCCGTATAAATTTGAAATACACCTTATCTAATATATATACATGCTGGAAAATTTTTTTTTGCATCCATATAAATGTTAAGTGAATACACTATACTTGTTTCTGTTTAAAAGCTTACCTATCACAGTAAAATTAAGTTTAGAAGTTTTTAAGTATTTTCATAAACCAATTACAAAAGAAGCTAAAACAGAAGAAATGATCCATTAACTAGAAGTAAATAAATAATATAGTGATCGATGTATTTATTACATTATTAATCTGACATTTTCAAGATGATGATGACACCAGAAGTAAAAGATTTCTGTGCAATCAAATACAGTAGAACCTCCATTATCCGGATTTTCGATTATCCGGATTGTTCAAAATAAACAAAAATTTTACGAATTTGCTGATTTGCACTTGGCGAATTACGACACTGTTTATGTACGTGATGGAATGCATAACTTTTTTTGTTTCAACAACGTCTCACCCAGCACAGTGGTCGTAAACTCTTAAATATATTTTACGTAGTAATAAAAATATAACTTGACATACGTATTTATAAATAATTTATATTCAAATTACATCATTTCTATGACCAAGGGCGGCGTAAGGCATGGACGACGTGGGCCACCGCCTATGCCTCGCGGTCCGAAGGGCCTCGCGCCTCGAAGGTTTATGCATTACTTAAAAGCCGCGAACGCGACGAAAAAATTTTACTCGTCATAAAACGATAAATAGTTTGTCAAATTTTTATTCATAAAAATGCAGTTTCAACTGCTTTTTATTTTATAAAATCCGTCTTCTTGCGCCACCAGAGGGCCTTTTAAACAATAGGTAGTCTGTTAGCGTTGGTCAGTAGTAGTCCAAATTCAATACGAACGTTTGTTTCTTGAAAATTTGATCACGATTTAAATACAGTATTTACTTTTAATATTACCGATATGTCATCGAAAAGAAAATGTGTTGTATTATCATTAAAAGACAAATTAAAGTATTTGTTTCGATTATCCGGATTTTTCCTTATCCGGACTACCTTCATCCCCAATTAGTCCGGATAATCGAGGTTCTACTGTATTCCAAAATTGTCAATAACTTCTAGACTGGATTTGCTCATTTAGCAGAATTATTGGAATATTTAAAAATTGATGGTTTGAATCCAATGTATGGTAGTTGACTCACATTTTTCAATAAGTTAGTTATTTATACAAAGTATAAAAATCAAAGTTTCAGTTAGAATGATGGTAATCCAATTACTTCTATTACTAATTTTTAATTAATTTTAAAAAATCAATAATGTAATTTTTTT